ACTAGGCCTAAAATGTTATGCACTTACCTGAGAATAAATTTAATCCAGTTCAATAGGGCCTATTTCTGAAATGCATCAAATTGTACTATAAAGTGTTAAAGAATAATAGATATATTTTTCTTGTATTCAACTAGGGAATCAATAGTGAGATTTGAATAGTCTCCAGTTTCTTTCCAAGCACAGTTTGTGCATTAGGGAGTTGATGCCAAACAAGATGTGTAGATTTTGTCTTTCAGTTCTCTGCATGAAGAACGAATTTGAAATACATTGGAAAGGATGTCAGAAATTATTTTGTCATCATGATAGAAAACTGCACAAAATACAAGCCCTTAGAAAATCTCTCTGCATACAAATCATAATAAAATAGCAGATGTGTCAATTTGCAATCTATCTTAAAATATGGCAGTGAGTTTATAATACAGGGAAAAGAAATGTATCTATTTTTTTCTTAGTGGCTGTTATAGATTTCATGTAGCCCAAACTAACCCAGAACAATCAGCCTTAGAAGTATCACAATGTTTTAAAACTCATTTTTATTTATTTATTAAATTTTAACTGCCTAACTCACCTAGGTAACTCTGGGTGATTTACACTGCTACCTGACACTTCTATTAAAAAACAATCATCTGAAGCAGACATATTCCCCAGTAAAGGTGTATTTCCAACACTGAGATGTTATATTAATTTTTACATGCAAAATTATAGCTTTTGCCAGTCAGGGATCACAAAAACGTAATTATCTATATTTAGTCTCACACTATTAGAATGAATTGTAGAATAATAATGTTCCTATTCTCTAAGTAAATAAACAACCCCTATGCCCCAATAGCGGTGACTTCTTCACACCTCTGTGTTCCATTTATTTAAAGATGGGGATTGCACTGTTTGAAAAGCTGCTTGAAAAGTGTGTTTTAAAAGTTGCAGTACTTTGTCATATATATATATAGTCATCAGAGCAATATGTGCAGATTCTATTGTGTGCACTAACAATGTAGATGCATAGAATTCAAAATCAAGTGTTATGGTGTGCGTGTGCAATATCTAATCTTAAAGGAAATCTGTTTGGAAATTATTATTTCATCAAGCAGGTACAAAATTTGCAGCTTTTGTTACTTGTAAGATGTCTTTATGATAGTTCAAATTGAAGTACAATCAACTAGAAAGCAAAAGAGCTCAGGTGTTTTATCAGTATATTTTTCCAAAAAGTGAAAAAATTAGGCAATGTAATTATAACCATCATTTACTTATAGTTCTAAATAATGTATCAGTAGCCTTATATCCTTTAGCACAGTAATCAGAGTGCTGGACTATGGTTGGCAAGATAAGTCAGCATGGTTTAATTTAGCTAAAGTTAAATTTGAAAGAACTGAATGGAGAACAATTTATGCAGAAATAAATTTTTAAAAACCATTGCTCACGGTAACACAGACAATTGCGAGCTACAGATTATGGACGTACTAGATAGGAGAAAGATGTTAGGTAAAGCACATCCTACAGGAGGAAACTGGAACAAGCACACCATTCTGGTGTGAAGAACCAGAATGATTCTGGGAGATGATGCCAGAAATTTCTAGTGTTCTATTCTATGAGTTCACCTGTTTGCTATACCCAATTTTGAATATTTTTTCAACAAAGTACTGATAGTAGTAATAAAATCCATGGTCCATAATTTAGAAATTTTGAGAAATACATCCAAATAATTCTATTCTTTGCAGAAGTGTAATTTTTGGACATTCAATTTAGTACTGCACTCAGGTCTAAGAGTAACCAATCGAATGTGCCAAGCTTCTAGGATAAAATGTTCCAAGATCAGTTTAGGTTCCATTATAAATCCTGCTTTATCTGAAATAATTTCAATTGTATGTATTTATAAAGATGCCTCCATTCATATTTCCTTTTCATTAAATTGAGGAAAGAGAGAAGAAATACATAGATGTATTTAGGATGTAACAATAGGATGTGTTTTTGACGTTTTCAGCATGAGCAGACATCAGCGACATGTTGATAACAGTAACTATATTATTTACATTTTATGTAAATGTGTATGAGACTGCATTATTGAAACAAACAAAATGTTAAAAAA